AAAGAAATGAAACCATAGATCTGTATGTGTCCATAGTATAGATTGTCTCTGGAATTTGAGTAGAAAACTAGTATACTGTTGTTCTGGGGAACAGGATTGGGGTTCAAAACTGAGAGGAAGGCTAAATTTTGGACTGATAAAACAACTTTATTCATATGCATATTTTATCTATTTGTCTGAATGCAAATGTAAGTAACAGCATACATGGAAATGGGAACTATGGGTGAAGACAGAGGAGATTCTTCACCTTTGGGAAAATGGCAGGTGAGCCAACCTTGACCCTGGTCAGATTTGGAATAAGAGCTGAGGGTGGCAGCGCAAGCAGAGGGTGCTCTGTAGGAAAAGCCTGGGGCAGGAGCAGTTATGGGAGATGGGTCCTGAGGGACCAGTGGGGCCAGCTAAGGAAGAGCTGCCTCCTGCTCTGGGAGCCCACGGAGGCTGGGTGCTGGGAGCTCCTGCGTTGCTCACCTGGTGCTCATTGTCCAGCACAGAGACGTGCAGGTCAAATGGTTTGCCATCCTCAAAGGGTATATTGTGGCATGTCACCCCAGACCACCAGACCCCATACACATCGCTGTTCACAGCCACCCAATGACCAAAGTTCACTTGGAAATGGAAGGTGGTATCTGACTCCTCATTTGTCCCTGTGTGGAAATCTACTTGCAGCTGTGGGTCCTCACTGAGGGCAAAGCACAGAGTGTGTTGGGCAGGTGTCTCCCTTGTGGGACACACACTGGACACACACAAAAATTTCTTCTCTGCTTTCCCCGGGGCAGACAGAAGCCTTCCTGGTGATACTGCAGACCTCATCCATGGGAGGCTCTTCAGCTCCTCCTGTCCATAAGAGCTCCCTCATCCCAAGGCACTGACCTGGGCTTATGAGTTGTTGATTTCATGAAAATTCAATGCTCCTTGATAAAAAGCCACAGTCCCAATGCCCTGAGTGTCCTCCCCTAGGCCCCATGACTGGCTCACAGTGCAGCCACTGCCGGTTTCATGCCAGGCGCTGCAGGGTCTCCAGGACCTGCACCTGCACCTGCATGGTGCCTCCATCCTGCCAACTAGACATTTCTGCATCACTCACACATGAGGTCAGCCCTTTAGCAAATATTCTCCCTTCCCCTCCACCCCCTGCCACGTACCATGGACTACTCACACGAAAGAGAGTATTGGTGTCACTCTGATTCTCACACAAGAGCCAACAGACAAGGACACAGGCCATGCGTATGGCACCTGCCAGGGCTTTGAGAGTGGGTGAGAGGGGCTGGGCAAGGTGTGGTCTCCCCTCCTGTAACAGTTTCCTATGGTGTAGCAGCTTAGAGGTCAATGGACAGACTTTGAGGCTTCTCCCTTCCCGCTCTAGCACAGTCAGGGCCCTGTTTTCCTGAAGAAAAAGGGGACCCACAGGCAAAAGCAAGCATTCAGGAGCCAGGCTGCCTGGATTCCAGTTCTGATTCTGCCTCTTACCAGCAGTGCCATGTTAGATCCATCACTGAAATCTCCACCTCACAGATTCAAGCGATTCTCCTGCCTCAGACTCTCGAGTAGCTGGGACTACAGGCATGTGCCACCATGTCCCGATAATTTTTTGTATTTTCAGTAGAGACGGGGTTTCACTGTGTTAGCCAGGATGGTCTCGATCTCCTAACCTCGTGATCTGCCTGCCTCGGCCTCCCAAAGTGCTGGGATTACAGGCATGAGCCACTGTGCCCGGCCCCGTTACCCACTTTTTTATGGGGTTGTTTGTTCTTTACTGTAAAGTTATTAAAGTTTTTTTTTAAATAGATGCAAGATATAAGACTTTTTTCAGAAACATAATTTGTAAATATTTTCTCCCGTTCTGTAGGTTGTCTGTTGACTCTATTGAGAATTTCCATTGCTGTGCAGAAGCTCTTTAGTTTAAATAGATCCATTTGTCAATTTTTGCTTTGCTTGTGATTGCTTTTGGTATCTTTGTCATAAAACTTTTCCCCATTTCTACATTCAGAATGGTATTGCCTAGGGAGTCTTCCAGGGTTTTTTTTATAGTCTTGGGTTTTACATTTAAGTCTTTACTCATCTTTAGTTGATTTTTCTATGTAAAGCAAGGAAGGGGTTCAAGTTCAATCAATGCATATGGCTAGCCGGTTAACTCAGAACCATTTCTTGAATAGGAAGTCCTTTCTCCATTGCTTGTTTGGTCATCTTTGTCAAAGATCAGATGGTTGTAGGTGTGTGACCTTATTTCTGGGCTATTAAGTCCCATTGGTCTATATGTCTGTTTTTGTACCAGTACTATACTGTTTCGTTACTGTGGCCCTGTAGTACAGTTTGAAGTTGGATAATGTGATGTTTCCAGCTTTGTAGTTTTTGCTTAGAATTGTCATGGTTATTCAACTTAGTCTTGGTTCCATGTGCATTTGAAAATAGTTTTCTTCTAATTCTGTGAAGGATGTCATTGGTAATTCAATAGGAATAGCATTGAATCTGTACATTTCTTTGGGCGGTATGACTGTTTTAATAAGTCTTGCTATCCATGAGCATGGGCTTTTTCCATCTGTTTGGGTCATCTCTGGTTTTTTAAGCAGTGTTTTGTAATTCTCATTGTAACAATCTTCCACCTCCTGGTTAGCTGTATTCCTAGGTATTTTATTCTTTTTTATGGCAATTGTGAATGGAATTGCATTCCTGATTATGCCCTATGCTTTACTGTTGTTGGCATACAGGAGTTCTAGTGATTTCTGCACACTGATTTTACAAGCCGCAACTTTGTTATAGTTGTTTACCAGCTTAAGGATCATTTCGGCAGAGACTATGAGGTTCTCTAGATGTAGAATCATGTCTTCAAACAGGCATGGTTTGACCTGTCTTTCTATTTCAATGCCCTTTCTTTCTTTCTCTTGCCTGACTGCTCTGGCCAGGACTTCCAATAATACTATGTTGCATATGAGAGGGTGTAAGAGAAGGCACTGCAGAAAGTGTGGTTTGAAAATTCAAATTCAATTCATGCTCCATTCATCATAGTTTAAGATACAAAACAAAACAAAACATTTCTCTCTTAATTCTGGCCCCTCACTTGCAAATAAGGCCCAGACGCACCAGGGCTCAGCACCACGGACAGCAACACAGAAGAGACACACACACACACACACACCCACCCACCACCACCACACACACACACACACACACACACACACACCCCACCCCCCATTATAAAACAGTAGATTTATTCTTTGGGGGTTTTCAACAAAAACTGAAAAGCCCTAAAGACCTTTCAGGAGGCAAGGCTTTAGAATTCAGAAATAACCTACTGTGTTTTGAGCAATGCTGTATTTGCTGGGAGAAGACCGTAAATTTGGGTTAAGGAGCATGAAAAAGATGTTGAGTAGGTCCCCGGGGCAAATCAGAAATCATTTGTTGAACATTGGCTCCTGGACTCTATGTCATATTCTCTTTTTATCTGAGACATCACCCCTGGCCACGATGAGCATAGGGTAGTAGCTGGTATAAAGATGAATGTAACCAGTGCCCTATGTGAACTGAACTGAGCTGGTGAATATCAATAAAGAAAATGCAGTTACTGTGTGTTTGTCTAGCAGGCACAGCACGTAGGACCCTGTAGGTTATTCAGATACAATGGGCATCATCTAGGGACATGTAGATATGAAATCAAACTCAAGTTCTGCTCCGAAAGTCATGGGTTCCAAGATAGTCTTTATCCACTCAGAGTCTCAGATCAGTCTTATTCATTTAGAGCAAGAAGTGCCTAATTCCCCCAAGAAATTATTTCCATGCTGATGATGGGGCCTATAATCCATCATCAAAATAGAGAAGTGACCAAAACTGTGAGAGGGATGATGTAAGGAGGAAAGTGTACCTAACAAGAACCTGAGACTTTCCAGTGAGGGAGGAGGGAATTTCAGTTCATAAAGGAAAGCAACAAGAAAGAGAGGCATGAAGGTGTCATTTACTGTGCATTGACACCTCAAAGTATCTGATGTTAGATTAAAGGAGGGCAAGGAGAGAGGCATACCCACGAGTAAGGCTGGGGTATGCTGTGACAGTGAACATGGGAAGAGAGGATGAGTGATCAAAATGACACCTGAGATGGGCCCTGTAGATAAAGGCTACTATTTGATGAGACCCTCTTAAATCTGCATTGTTTGGCTTTTAGGTAATATGTTGTTTATCTTCAACTAAATGGCTCTCTATTTGTGCTATGAACCAGATGACAACAGTCCTCATAGAGGGAAAAGGGCTGTCATCGTGCCATCTTTGTGGGAGCTCCAAGCAGCTGACAGTAGAAGGTGGAGCCAACTGTTGCGGAGAAACATTTTCAGAGAAGATGAAAATACGGGTCTTGTTGGTTTAAGCAATGATATACACCAGTGATGGCTGCTCACTTTTTGGTTGTTCTTGTTTGTTTGTATTGGTTTGTTTTAATTTTTATTCATATACAAAGAGCTAGCATGGTTTCTTTCACTGGGTGCATGTCTTGCTTATCAATTCATTCATTAAGTCCAAGAACCAACCATGAGACTCATGATTTGAGGGAATTCAAGGCATGAATGGGGAGGTGAGGTAGTGAAGGAGGTAACCTGCCAGCCTCCAGGTGTTCACCCAGTCCTTGTGTTGAGTCAGACATGAGTGAAGCATCCTTCGGGATCCAGCCTAAAAGACCTTCAGAAAACATGGCTCTCACCACCTGATCTACCACTCACACACGAGTCCAGCTAACTGAGAAAGATCAGAATAAATGATTGCTCTAAGCCAACATGTGTTGGGAGGTTTGCTGGGCTGCAATGCCTAGTGAAACTGCAGCAAAGCAGGGTCGGCTCACTGTGTCCATGTGTATGAACTGTGTCCGTCCCAACAATAAACTTCATATTTTCTGATGTAAAACCATGACCATTTTTTTCCAAAGAAAAATCCCAGGATTCTGCCATATACATCGGATAAACCTCACAATTATTTTTAAACATCAACTACTGGGGTTCTTAAGAGAAATCTTTGGACTCCTGTGATTCTCTAACTATTGCTTTAATTGAAATTTTCATGTGGGAAGTGTGTCTTTTTCCAAAGTTCCTGCATGGCAGCCTGTACAGAGCCAGGCATCATTACATACAATAAATATCCTGAGAACAATGGAAAGAATAAGGAAATTCCACCAGATTGTCCTCAAGTTACAAAATTTCTCCCCAAAGCCACGAGGTATACCTGTGTGGCTGTAAACAGCTATCTAAGATTTCAGTGCAGTGAGTCATATGAGATTGGGTAAGGATTTTGTCTCAGAGTCTCTGATGTCAACAATATGCTATAGAAGGACGCTGTACCTAATGTCTTCTCAAACATTCCAGGGACCTTATAACCCACTCCTGGAGTCCCAAGAAGGTTTATTCTCCTTGATTTCTGGACGCCTCCCATCAAGTTCCTTGGGCCTTCATGGGGATGACCACTTCCTCTTTCCCTCTTAAGGAAAGAGCCAAATCCTGGGAAGTTGGTGATTTTTTAAATGACCAAGTGTAGGGAAAAGGGTGAGGAGAGATCATGCTGTTAGGAGGCTCTGGGGATCCTACAGAGGAATTTCTCAACAATGAGAAGTACAGTCATCTCCCTCAATTGCAGACAGACATTGAGATCAGAGAGACATCTCTTTACACTTGAACCATCTTCACAGAACATGGTGGGAGTGGATGGGCAAAGCTGTAACAGTGTTGGCCATTTATTATTACCTACAAGAGGAAAAATGCATCAGAAAGACAGTATGCCACCAAACAAGCTTTTGGCCTCCTCTTCACTCTGTCCTGGTACCTACAACATCCCATGAGAAAACTGAACCCAGGACACACACTTTTGTTTATAGATGACGTTTTGTGCCTATTTGAGACAGCTTTTCACTTTATTTCTAATGTTTCATCTCATTCTCCAGCAAGATTCTACCAAGCTGTGTATGTTTGCTCAGCCTCCCCACTAGCCTGTAAAATCCCCTATAAACTTGAATCCCTCCATCTTGTACGGGAGTTCACACAGAGTTAACGTGAGACCAAACCTTGAATGCTTTCAGTTTCATGAACTATGACTGCCATTCACTGCTGATGGCCCAGTTTCTCTTTGGAGTTGCCTAGATCTGAGCTGATGGTGGCCAACAATAAAACTCAAGTGTTTGTGTTGGTTCCTGGTCTTTGCTATGGTAACCAGTGCCACAATGAACATATATGTACATGTGTCTTTATAACAGAACGATTTATAATCCTTTCGGTATATACCCAGTAATGGGATTGTGGGGTCAAACGGAATTTCTATTTCTGGATCCTTGAGGAATCACCCAAATGCCCATCAATGATAGACTGGACAATGAAAATGTGGCATGTATACACCATGGAATACTACACAGCCATAGAAAAGGATGAGTTCATGTTCTTTGTAGGGACATGGATGAATCTGGAGACCATCATTCTCAGCAAATTGACACAAGAACAGAAAACCAAATACCACATGTTCTTGCTCATGGGTGGGTGTTGAACAATGAGAACACATGAGAACAGGGAGGGGAGCATCACACACTGGGGTCTGTTGGGGGGCTAAGGGAGGGACAGTGAGGGGTGGGGAGGTTGGGGAGGGATAACATGGGGAGAAATGCCAGATATAGGTGATGGGGGGATGGAGGCAGCAGATCACCTTGCCATGTATGTACCTATGCAACAATCCTGCATGATCTGCACATGTACCCTAGAACCTAAAGTACAATAATAATAAAAAACCTTAAGTGTTGTTGCAGAGATAGAATAGGACAAGTGTTGCAAAAACATAGGATATCATTTTGAAGAGCTTCTAAGCATAGGAAAAGATTCTTCACTTGATCTGAATAAAATGTGAATGTTTTGGCCTACCAATTAGAAAGGGCCACAACATTTGGATGTATTCTTCATTACTGGGCTATACTAGTAACCTTCTAGATGTCAATTTGTTAAATTTAAAATGCACGCATTTTTGAACCAGTTATTTTTTGTGATTTTTTAAAATTATACTTTAAGTTCTGGGGTACATGGGCAGAACGTGTAGGTTTGTTACCTAGTAATACAAGTGCCATGGTGGTTTGCTGGATCCATTACCCCCTCACCTACATTAGGTATTTCTCCTAATGCTATCTCTCCCCTAGCACCCCACCCACCTGACAGGTCCCAGTGTGTGATGTTTCCCTCCCTGTGTCCATGTGTTCTCATTGTTCAACTCCCACTTATGAGTGAGAACATGTGGTGTTTGGTTTTCTGTTCTTGTGTTAGTTTGCTGAGAATGATGGTTTCCAGATTCATCCATGTCCCTGCAAAGGATACAAACTCATCATTTTTTATGGCTGCATAGTATCTCATAGCATATATGTGCCACAGTTTCCCTGTCCAGTCTATTATTGATGGACATTTGGGTTGGTTCCAAGTCTTTGCTATTGTGAACAGTGCCGCAATAAACATATGTGTGCTTGTGTCTTTATAACAGAACAATTTATAATCTTTTGGGTTATATACCCAGTAATGGGATTGCTGGGTCAAATGGTATTTCTATTTCTAGATCCTTGAGGAATCACCACACTGTTTTCCACAATGGTTGAACTAATTTACACTCCCAGCAGTGTAAAAGTGTTCCTATTTCTCCACATTCTCTGCAGCATCCACTGTTTCCTGATTTTTTAATGATCACCATTCTAACTGGCATGAGATGATATCTCATTGTGGTTTTAATTTGCATTTCTCTAATGACCAGTCATGACAAGCCTTTTTTGGTATGTTTGTTGGCTGCATATGTCTCCTTTTGAGAAGTGTCTATTTTTCACCTACTTTTTGATGTTTTTTTTTTCTTGTAAATTTGTTTATGTTATTTGTAGATTCTGGATATTAGCCGTTTGTCAGATGGATAGATTGCAAAAGTTTTCTGACACTCTAAGTTGCCTGTTCACTCTGATGATAGTTTCTTTTGCTGTGCAGAAGCTCTTTAGTTTAATCAGATCCCATTTGTCTATTTTGGCTTCCGTTGCCATTGCTTTTGGTATTTTAGTCATGAAGTCCTTGCCCATGCCTATGTCCTGAATGGTATTGGCTAGGTTTTCTTCTAGGGTTTTTATGGTTTTAGGTCTTATGTTTAAATCTTTAATCCATCTTGAGTTAATTTTTGTATAAAGTGTAAGGAAGGGATCCAGTTTCAGTTTTTTGCATATGGCTAGCCAGTTTTCCCATTTATTAAATAGGGAATCCTTTCCCCATTGTTTGTTTTTGCTAGGTTTTTCAAAGATCAGATGGTTCTAGGTATGTGGCCTCTGCGGCCTCTGTTCTGTTTCACTGGTCTATATCTGTTTTGGTACCAGTACCATGCTGTTTTTATTACTGTAGACTTGTAGTACAGTTTGAAGTCCGAAAGCGTGATGTCTCTAAGCTTTTTTTTTTTTTTTTTACTTAGGATTGTCTTGGCTATTCAGGCTCCTTTTTGGATCCATATGAAAATGAAGGTATTTTTTCCAGTTCTGTGAAGAAAGTCAGTGGTAGCTTTATGGGGATAGCATTGAATATACAAATTACTTTGGGCAGTATGGCAATTTTTACGACATTGATTTTTTCCTAACCATGAGCATGGAATGTTTTTCCATTTATTCGTGTCCTCTTTTACTTCCCTGAACAGTGGTTTGTAGCTCTCCTTGAAGAGGTCCTTCACATGTCTTGTAAGTGTATTCCTGGGTATTTTATTCTCTTTGTAGCAATTGTGAATGGGAGCTCACTCATGATTTGGCTCCCTGTTTGTCCATTATTGGTGTATAGGAATGCTTGTGATTTTGCATATTGATTTTGTATCCTGAGACTTTGCTGAAGTTGCTTACCAGCTTAAGGAGACTTTGGGCTGAGACGATGGGGTCTTCTAAATATACAGTCATGTCATCTGCAAATAGAGACGATTTGACTTCCTCTTTTCCTAATTTAATACCCTTTCTTTCTTTTTCTTGCCTGATTGCCCTGACCAGAACTTCCATTGCTATGTTGAATAGGAGTGGTGAGAGAGGGCATTCTTGTCTTGTGCCAGTTTTCAAAGGGAATGCTTCCAGTTTTTGCCCATTCAATATGATATTGGCGGTTGGATTGTCATAAATACCTCTTAATATTTTGAGATAAGTTCCATCAATACCTAGTTTATTGAGAGTTTTTAGCATAAAAACCTGTTGATTTTTGCCAAAGACCTTCTCTGCATCTATTGAAATAATCATGTGGTTTTTGTCTTTGGTTCTATTTATGTGATAAATTACATTTATTGATTTGCATATGTTCAACCAGCCTTGCATCCCAGGGATGAAGTGGACTTGATCGTGATGGATAAGATTTTTTGATAAGCTGTTGGATTTGGCTTGCCAGTATTTTATTGAGGATTTTCACATCAGTGTTCACCAGGCATATTGGCCTGACATTTTCTTTTTCAGTTGTGTCTCTGCTGGGTTTTGTTATCAGGATGATGTTGGCCTTATAAAATGAGTTAGGGAGGATTCTTTCTTTTTCTATTGTTTGGAATAGTTTCAGAAGGAATGGTACCAGCTCCTCTTTGTACCTCTGGTAGAATCTGGTTGTGAACCCATCTGGTCCTGGACTATTTTTGGTTGGTAGGCTATAAAATGCTGCCTATATTTCAGAACTTGTTATTGGTCTAGTTAGGGATTCAACTTCTTCCTGGTTTACTCTTGGAAATGTGTAAGTGTCCAAGATTTTATCCATATCTTCTATATTTTCTGGTTTATTTGCATGGAGTTGTTTGTAGTAATCTCTGATGGTAGTTTGTATTTCTGTGGAATTGGTGGTAATATCCCTTTTATCATTTTTATTGCATCTATTTGATTCTTCTCTCTTTTCTTCTTTATTAGTCTGGCTAGTGGTTTATCTATTTTGTTGAGCTTTTCAAAAAACCAGCTCCTGGATTCATTGATTTTTTGAAGGGTTTTTTGTGTCTCTATCTCCTTCAGTTCTGCTCTGGTCTTAGTTATTTCTTGTCTTCTGCTAGTTTGAACATCTTTATTTCTGCCTCCATTTCATTACTTATCCAATAGTCATTCGGGAGCAGGTTGTTCAGTTTCCATGTAGCTGTGTGGTTTTGAGTGAGTTTCTTAATCCTGAGTTCTAATTTAATTGCACTGTGGTCTGAGAGGCCATTTGTTATAATTTCCATTCTTTTGTATTTGTTGAGGAGTGATTTACTTCCAATTATGTGGTCGATTTTAGAATAAGTGCAATTTGGTGTTGAGAAGACCATATATTCTCCTGATTTGGGGTGGAGAGTTCTGTAAATGTCTATTGGGGCCACTTGGTCCAGAGCTGAGTTCAAGTCCTGGATATCCTTGTTAATTTTCTGTCCTGGTGATCTGTCTAATATTGGCAGTGGAGTGTTAAAGTCTCCGAATATTATTGTGTGGGAGTCTAAGTCTTTTTGTAGGTCTCTAAGAACTCACTTTACGAATCTAGGTGCTCTTGCATTGGGTGCATATATATTTAGGATAGTTAGCTCTTATTGTTGCATTGATCCCTTTACTGTTATGTAATGCCCTTCTTTGTCTCTTTTGATCTTTGTTGGCTTAAAGCCAGTTTTATCAGAAACTAGGATTGTAATGCTTGATTTTTTTTGCTCTCCATTTTCTTGGTAAATCTTCCTCCATCCCTTTATTTTGAGCCTATATGTGTCTTTGCATGTGAGATGGGTCTCCTGAATACAG